TTTTTGCTAATGGGTATAGGAAGAGGGGAGTTGAAACTAAGAGAAAGGTTAAGTTGTAGGTGACTTTTGGTTGTTGGAGTTAAGTGAAGAAGGGAGGGGGTGTTTAAATAGAGGGAGGTCAATGAGAGATGCATGTGATGGGAGCAATGGTGGTGGCTTTCTCAAATCATAATCCTGAGTGCCACCTTCTCTATTTTTTAAAGTTTTGAGTAGTTTGACTGCTATACTTTACTGCTAGGCTACTACCTTAATAGCATAGTTTATGGGGGTATTTTAAAAACATATATAATGATATATTTTTTTCATCTTCGTTATTACTTAGTTCTGTGTCTATCATGTAGAATCTTTGAATAGAGATAACTTGATTTGAATATTTCAGCATTACAATCTACAATCCAAGTTAGAATCTTTGCACAAACATTCTCTGACATACTAAATTCAGTTAAACAATACTTGTGTTGTTGAATTTGATGTTCATTTTTTCTCATCCGCTTTTACTGATAATTTCAATATACCATAAAACTTATTGTTGGTTTCCTTTTTCGACAAAATATACCATAGTGCTCTTTAGACTCTAGATTCAGTCCAACACAATTTGTGCAGTAATATTCCATGCCTTTGGCTTAACTACTTCTTTGAGATACCATGCAACATTTTCTTTCTCTCTTTTTTTCACTTATTGAAAAGGCTAGTCCTCTCTCAGGGTTTATACACCTTTCCCCCCATGACCACCTGTTTCTATCTAATCATAATTTTGTTGAGGAATATGTATTTAATCATGTTTTACATTCATGCTATAGATGTTGTTATGCATAACTAAGGTTAAAGGATAATATACTACAGAGGAGTATTAAATACTTCTAGAATGTTTAATTTTTAAACAATAGTAGTTCAGTATTTTCATACTTGGGAAATAGATTAAAGGTTTAATTCCTGTTTCTATTTCTGTAACTACTGTTTTTTATTCTGTCTTTCCGTTCTCCCTTTATCATGAAGTTGTTTCATCTAGATATTTAAGATCCAATCTCCTTGTTTTTGAGTTTACAATCTTCTCTAGTTTTTTCTTAAGAGCTCTATTTTTAAGCCACCAGTTTGTATATGCTCAATTTTTTAATTGCCATGAACATTTTCACTTCATTTACTTAGTACACCATATGATCAAAAGATATTGGTAGTGTGATAAGGGTCACCGACAATCTAAATATAGTCGAAAGTTCTGATTATCCTTTACGTGAATCTTCTGCAGAGAATTTCTTGGTTCTTTATTTTGTTGCAAGCTGGTTACAGAGAATTAGAAATAGGATGTTCACCGACAAAAGGTACATGAACTCCTTTGATAAGGATGATCTGGGAAAGTGATCCTGGATTGCGCTCTCTAGTTTGAGAGCTCTTTGGTTCTATGAGGCCTGTGCTTGAGGCTTGGTTTTCCTAGTCTCTCTTCTTTTTATGAGTGAGAAAAATGAGAGCTTATCTTGTGCTTTGAGTACTAAACTTATATTAATGTATGGTCCTTGAGATGAGTATAGCCATCTCATCACCTCTAGTTCCCCTCACTTTCTAGCATTTCTTTAATCGAAAGTGTTATTTGATAGGTGATATGAGAAATTTGTGTCCTTATTCTATCTATGAGATGTATGTATGTGCGTATCAGTCCTTCATTCTCTTCGAATTACCTCAACTAACTCCTAGAATAACAGTTTTTCAAAACATTTCATATGGCCGGTTCTACTGGATCCTAGCTCTGCAAGACCGCTGGCAAGACTTTCTTGTTCAGTGCAAGTTACCCCAGTAAACTAACATGGAACGTGAGTGAGAAGTCAAGTGACGATTGCGGAAAAAAGGAAAATCAGAAGATGATGTGGAGCTAGCTTCTGGATTGCTTCCTAGGAGCTACTCAACACAGAATGTCCTAGAAGATTTCTCTCAAATCTTTATTAGCTTGGAGTTTTCCTTAAATAGGATCTTGCTTTAATAGATCAAACTGATATACAGATAATAAATGAGGGTCTACTTAATATGCCTATGAATTAATTGGACCTACAAGGTGCGGCTCTTGATTCTTGATGATTTGAGATGGGCCACTGGATTTCTAATGAGGCTTAGTTTGGTTAGTTTTCTTAATTACTTAACCCTATACATAAATTTGAGAGGTGTTAGATTGGTTTAGTAAGGTTGTGTATACCAGTAAAGTATATACATATGTTCATTTTGTTGATTACACATGTAAGTTTAGTACCATGTGATAAGTAGTATCTTTAATATTTATACAAATAATTGAGTCAATTCTAGAAAATGATTGATAAATTTACTAAATTCATTCAGAATAAGAACCAGATGTGATTATCCAGACGAGATTGCATGAGTATTAATGTGATCTACATACATTTCATCATATTTCATTCGACAAGGCCCGGCAAAGACAATTATCAATTTATTCTTAAATGTGGATATAAGTGAAATCAGTCCTTAGCGATCTGTGGCTATGGTAAGTTCCAGGAGGATACATGCTTCATATTGAAGCAAAACCCCCAAATTTCTTCTATGCATAAATTAAGGCTAGATAAAATAGGAAAATAAAACTGGAGAATTTTTTTTCCTTGGGAAAGAAGGCCTTTTTTATTTAGTGGAAAACTGGAAAACTTCAAATGCATCAATAAAAGTGAGGAGCATAGTTGCCAAATATTAACTGAGAACAGCATACTATAAAACAAACCTAGAGAAGATGAGAGAGAAATATCTTAGGTTAGTTATCGATCCATTAGGAAAATATCAGATTTCGAATGTTTTGAAATGTTGTACAAAGTTACAAAAGATAATAGAAAAGCCTCATCATCTCAACTGTAGGTACATAACGCCCATTTTCCAAAAATTCTGGGCTCCTGAGAGAGGGCTCTGTTCTCATCCTTTTCTGACTCTAGCTACACTAGTCTCACTCAAACCAAATACTCGTACTATGACACATAAAAAAGAAAATCAACTTCAGAGTTGATTAGTAGATTTGCGAGATGCATCTCCTGTGACAGGAGACTAGCTTCTTGGCCTGCTGCGTTTCCTCTTTCCATGCTTTGCTCAGATCCTTTGCCACCTTCACTGCATCAGAGGAAGCACCAGCCAAACCTCTTCTTGTGAAACCAGCAGTATAAAGCCCAGACTTCCCTTTCCATGCGTTTGGGAACTGTGCCTTCGGCATCCCGTCTTTGGAGAAGAAATCGGTTCCCTGCAGCCAATATGGAACATTGCTGTGGTACCCTGTGGCCATGACAACAGCATCAAATTCAAGAACTCGGCCATCGACAAACTCAACTCTTCCAGGCATAAATCTCTTTACGCCAGGTACCACCTCAATTTCACCAGACTTTATCTTGCTCAGAGCTCCATAATCCAAAACAGGGGTCCTGCCATGTGTGGTCTTAAGCTCCAAAGGGCCGACTGATGGTCTCTTCAGCCCATACCTCTCTAAGCTTCCAAGCACAAACCAAGCGACAACAAGCATTATCTTGTCAACCAACCACAATGGCAGCCATTTCATTAGGAAAACGGACAACTCAAATGTCGATTTCCCATAGACTTCTCTTGGCAACACATGAACAGAGTCACGAACCACCATGGAAGGGAATGCATCATGATCACAGAGGTCGAGACAGACCTCCATGCCGGAATTGCCACATCCGACCACCAAGACCTTTTTTTCCTCGGTAAGCTTCACCAGATTTGTAGTCGGAAGCATGGGTAACTTCGCTTCCAAATGACACCAATCCGTCCATATCGGGGACCACTCTCTCGGTGTTCTCACCTGTAGCCACAACTAGCCATTTACCGATGTACTCTACTTCTTCGTGTTGCGTTCCTATGGCCCTGACATGCCATAGACCGCTTGTTTCGTTATATTTTGCTGATTGAACTGATTGATTGAATTTTGGGCTGATATTGAAATGTTTGGCATAGGACTCCAAATAGTCTACGAATTGTTTCTTGCAAGGGTACTCTGGGTAGGAATCAGGGAAAAGGAGTCCTGGGAGTTGACAGAATTGTTTGGGGAGGTGAAGTTTGAGGCGGTCGTAGGTTCTCTTCTGCCAGAGGGATGCAATGCAATCAGAACGCTCAAGGATAACGTATGGGACGCCATGCTCTTTTAGAGAGGCAGCTACCGCGAGGCCTGAGGGGCCTGCACCAATGATGATGGGCCCATTTACCCACATACATTTCCTAGATAGGAAGTCAACGCTATCGGGCAATTGAGGACCCATGATAGATTGAACAATTGGTAGTATCTAAATTGGGATGAATTGGTTTGAGATTGGAGTTTTAGAGCTTTTTTACTCTTTGCTAATTGAGATAGGAAGAAGGTAATTGAAACTTAGACAAAGGTTTTGGTTGTTGATGGTTATGGAGTTTGTATTATAGGAGTTTAGTGTAGAAGAATGGGAGGGAGGGGTCTAAAGGTTTTGGTTGTTGATGGTAATGGAGTTTGTGTTGTAGGAGTTTAGTGAAGAAGAATGGGAGGGAGGGGGTGTTTAAATAGAGGGGAGTCAATGAGAGATGCATGTGATGGAGGTAAAGGTGGTGGCTTTCTCAAATCATAAGCTTGCATACCGCTTCCTCTTTTTTATTTTTTTTATTGTTTTTATGTTTTTTTTTTAATTTTTGATTAGTTTGACTGCTATAGTTTATTACTAGGCCAATATGTTGTAGCATAGTTTACAGGGGTGATTTAGTGAGTTAATTTTTCCTCGTTCCTATTCCTTAGTTCAGTGCTTATCGTGTAGAATCTTTGGATGAAGGAAACTTGATTTGAATTCTTCAGAATAACAGTCGAAGTAAGAATGTTTTCACAAGCCCCTACATCAGTGCTCTGACACACTAAATTCAGTAAAACAGGACTCTTGCTGTAAACTTGTTGCTGATTATTTCCCGTCTGTTTTCACTGTTATTTTATTGATACTGTACAACTTATCGCTTGTTTCTTCTTCCCACAAAAATTTACTGAATTGTTCTCTCAGGTCCAGTCCGGGATATTTTATGCAGTAATATTCATGTCTCTGGTTTCCCTTCTGTTTTGAGGTACCATAGAAACTATGTCATTTATTTATTTTCGTATTTTTTCCCTTCTTTTGAAAAACCTTTGAAACTTATCTTTTTTTATTTCTTTTTCTATTTAATTTCCTTTCAAGAAAGCCTAGACATCTCTCAGGCTTCTAGCAAGCACCTTCTTTCAGTCAATAGTTTTTTTTATTTAATTGCAATTTTATTGTAAGGGATATCTAATTAATCATGTTTCAGTGCATGCTTGTAATGCTGTCATGGTTAAGTTAGTGAAGGCAATATACTAAAGGGGAGTTTTACATCAGTTGTTAATTGTTTAATGGTTTAACAATTTCGATTTCACAAGTGTCTTGCTGACACACTAAAAGGTTCAACTCTGGTTACTTAATTCGACAATTGTTATTTTTGCTCCTTTCTGATCTCCCTTTCTCATGACCTTGTAAACCAGCATCTCCTAACCACAATTCTTTTCACTATCGAAGATTAGATATCCTAAATTTTTTTATGATGTGTATCGAGTAAGTTTTACTATATCAATTTCCTGAAAATAATGTTTGGATATTATTAAAGATTGGTTGTCCTACCCCTGTAAAATAATTTTTAACCTAGAGCTTCATAAGGTGCCACCATGCTTCTTTTAGCGGTAATCTTTAACCGCTGTGACTAGTGGGTCCTTTGCCAACTGTCTGAATTCCTCTTGATTGGGTAATATTAGTTTAATAGATAAATTGAAATCAGACATTGTTCTCTTCGAAAATTCGTTTACGGATATCTCTAGGATCCAGTAGTGAATTTCTAGTTTTTTGTTTCGTCTATTGGAAGAACTCAAGATGATTGGGCCCTATATGAAAGGTTGCACGCATTCCCGCCACATTCAACCACTCTTGCACAAAAATTTCTCTTTCTCCTCTAATCTTGTTTCTATCTCTAATCTTATTGCATGTTATTCTAAGAGTTTGAACTTTCTTTTTTGCAAGTTGCACTTTAAACTCCAAAAGAAATAAATATAATCTTTCCGAAGGGGAAAAAGTACTCTTCTAGTGATATATTTCGCATGCAAGTTGCATGCCATTTTCCAAATATTTGCATTTGACATTTTCCGTTTATAAAGCTTAATCTCTTATTACCTGGCATTTTTCAAGTGAAATGACCCATAGTTGCATGGAACCTGCTTTGTTCCGGTTCACGGTACGGGTACGGGAGCGTGGTACATTAGTCATTAGGAATCGGAGTGAGGTAGGCTTATACCGTAAGTTAGGGAACAAGGTATGCTTTAGGTTTAGTTCTTAAATGGAGGAATTAGAGCTTTTGCAAGAGTCAAATTTAAGAGATGCTAGTTAATATCAGTAATGGTAAAAGAGCCTTAATAATCATGTTGCAATTAAGGTATGTGTACTTTATTTGCTCAATTTCTCACATGTTTTGTCGTTTATTCTTTTAAAAAATAGTTATTTTTTTTCAAAATTTTAATTGGTTTGAATTCTAAATTGGGTCGCTGGAGTTGGTGAATTGGGTCGTGTTCCACTCGATTCTGGGATGACTGAACACAGGTTCACTATAGCGTCCTACGTTCCCGACTTCTAGGAAATGACCATATCATGTTCCATATAGAAATTGACATCCAAATTGTGGATAGGACAAATATGTTGAGTTTTAATTACTCTCTCGTTGTTTCTTAGGAGCGCTATTTTTAAGTGCTAGTTCTTTCTATTTCCTCAACATCGCAATTGCCATGAAGATTCTCACTTCATTTAGTTATTATACCATAACATCAAAAGTTATTGGTTAATGTGATATGGGTCACCGACAATCTAATTTAGAAGATTAAAAGGTGTGAAACTAATATGGCCGAAAGTTCTGATCATCCTTCATGTGAAACTTCTACATAGAGTTTGCTTTGTTCTTTATTTTGTTGCGAGCTGTTTACAGGGAATCCTCAGGAAAAGACTGTTCACAGAGAAAAGATAAGAACATGTGTTCCTTTGATAAGGATGATCTGGGGAAGTGACACAGGATTCCACTCTCTAGTTTAAAGAGTGAGGGCTCTTTGGTTCCGTGAGGCATGTGCATGAGGCTTCGTTTTCCTAGTCTCTCTCCTTTTCATGGAGAGAAATAAGAGAACCAAGCTTGTGCACTGAGTACTAAACTCATATTAACCTTTGATTCTTGCAATGAGTCAATGACAAAAGCCATCTCAGAAGCTTTAGTTCTCCTCACTTTCTAGTAATTCTTAACCAAAGCCCTCACTAAACAGGTGATATGAGAAAATTTGTATAGTTATTCTATTTACGAGATGTAGGGGTGCGCATCATTCCTTCATTCTCTCAGAATCACCCTAAGTATTTTAGAGCGTGTTAGGATAAGATTTTATTGAAATATATCCTCCCTGTTAACGCGAAGCTTGTGGGCAAGACTTTCTAGTTGAGTACAGGTTATCCAGTAAACTAGCACAGAAAGTGAGTGAAGGTACTGAATATACTAGGTTTTGAACGCTCAAAAGATTGTGAAAAAGATGGGGGATAAACTAATGATATGGTGAGGAGCTGTGGAGCTGGGTTCCAGGTGGCTTCCTAGGGGCTATTCAATGAGGAATGTCTTTGTTGAGAACTAGAAGGCTTCTCTCAAACCTCTGTTAGCTTGAAGTTTTGCTTAACTTGGATGTTTCTTTAAGAATCCTATCTCCATAAAGAGAATAAGCAAGGTGTAGTTCTTGATTCTGCTTGATGATTGTAGAGTGCCCATTGGGTTTCTAAAAGAGGGTTGGTTGGTTACAGTTCTTAATTACTTATTTTTATACATACGAGTATATGTTGATGAAACGAATGAAAACCCTAAATCATTATGAGATCTCTTGGGCTTTATATAGGCCCCTACAAAACTTACAAATAAGTCCCTAATAATACTAATATGTCAACACTCCTCCTCAAGATGGGCGAAAGATATCTATTAAGCCCATCTTGTCACATCCTCTAATCATATCTACTGAGCTGAGTCCTTTAGTCAGACAATCTGCTGCCTGGTCCTTAGTCGAAACATGACTTAGCTCCAGTAGTCCACTATCCAACTTCTCTTTGATGAAGAACCTATCGATCTCGATGTGTTTGGTTCTATCATGCTGCACTGGGTTGTTGGCAATACTGATAGCTGACTTGTTGTCACACCATAGCTTCATCTTAGCTCCTTGATCCAGCTTCAGCTCCACCAGCATACTCTTCAACCATAGCAACTCAGCAACTCCTAAGGCCATAGCTCTATACTCTGCCTCAGCTGTCGACCTCGCCACCACTGACTGCTTCTTGCTCTTCCACGAGACTAAGTTACCTCCTATAAAGATGCAATATCCTGAGGTGGACCTCCTGTCATCAGCACAGCTAGCCCAGTCAGAGTCGCAATAACCCTCGATGTTCACATGTCCATTCTTTCTGAATATCAGCCCCTTTCCGGGGGCACTCTTTAAATATCTCAGAATCTGGTACACAGCGTCCATATGACCCTTCCTCGGATCGTGCATGTAGCGACTCACCACGCTTACTGCAAAGGAGATATCAGGACGTGTGTGACTCAAATAGATCAGCCTTCCCACCAACCTCTGATATCTGTCACGATCAACTGGTTCTCCAGCCTCAGCACCTAGCTTGAACCTCTGGTCGATCGGTGTAGTTGCAGGTTTGCACCCTAACATTCCTGTCTCTTTGAGAAGATCCAGTGCATACTTTCTCTGGGATAGGATGATCCCTTCCGCTCCTCGAGCTATCTCTATTCCAAGAAAGTATCTAAGCAAGCCAAGATCTTTCACCTCAAATTCCTTACCCAGTCTCACTTTGAGTTGGGCAATCTCCTTCTCATCATCCCCTGTAATAATCATATCATCCACATATACCGCAAGCATAGTAATGTGGCCTCCACTCCGTCGAAAGAACACTGTATGGTCGGCGTTGATCTGTTGGTATCCCATACCAATCATAGCCCTTCTGAATCTGTCGAACCAAGCACGGGGAGATTGCTTCAGACCATAGAGAGACTTCTTCAATCTGCAGACCTTTCCCACTGTCTGATCTGTACCAAATCCTGGTGGTATCTCCATGTATACCTCCTCCACTAGATCTCCATGAAGAAATGCATTCTTCACATCTAGTTGGTGTAGCTTCCATCCACCATTTACTGCCAGAGAGATTAAGGTCCGAACAGTGCTCATCTTCGCCACCGGTGCAAAAGTCTCATCATAATCGATGCCATAGGTCTGACTATACCCTTTTGCCACCAGACGAGCCTTGTAGCGCTCAACTTGTCCATCTGGATTCTGCTTCACAGTAAAGACCCACTTGCATCCAACTGCTCTCTTTCCTACTGGTAACTTTACTAGCTCCCAAGTACGGTTCTTCTCTAGAGCTCCTAGCTCCTTGTGCATAGCCGTTTTCCATTTTGGGTCCTTCTTAGCAACCTGCCAATTATTAGGTACAGTAACAGAGTCCAATGATGCAATGGGTCCTTCTTAGCAACCTGCCAATTATTAGGTACAGTAACAGAGTCCAATGATGCAATGAATGCTCCATATGCAGGGTGGATACTAGAATATGATACATACTGGGCAAGATCCCAACCATATCTATCGGGAGGATGTCCCGCATTACTGCAAGTAGTCCTCCGTACTGATATTGGTGTGGGAGGATTAGGGAGAGGAATGTTATCAGTAGGAGTGTTATCACCTTGGGATGAAATTGGTGGTGGTATAGGAATTTCAGGAGTCGGGGTAGGCGTTGGCAAGAGACTTGGCAGCACTAGTGGCACTGTAGGTACTGCTCCTGCAATTTGTTTCCCTTCCTACTATAGGTTAGTAGCTCCCCCTGAACAGTGGGCCTAACACCTCTTGTCTCATTTTCCTTTTCTTCGTGATTCTCCTGCTCCTCCTCAACCAACTCCTCCTCAACCAATTCTCCCTCCCAAGGAATCGTTACAGAAATGGATTTCTCCACATTGTTCTTCGGTCTCTCACCATTCTCCTCCTCTCGCCCCATACTTCTAGTACTGGGCGAGTTACCAGCAGATGAAGTTACCTTCTGGGTGTAATATGGCTCAAGTTCTCGAAAGTGCACACCCATGCTCACAAACAATTTTTTTCCACCGGGCTCCAGCAAACATATCCCTTCTGAGTAGCAGAATATCCCACAAAGATACACTTCACAGCTCTAGGGGCAAGCTTCCCGACAGACGGCCTGTTGTCCTTCACAAAGCACACACAGCCAAACACTTTGAGTGGAAGGATCCCACCATTATCTCCCTTCAATATCTCACACGGAGACTTCCAATCCAGCACTCTCGAGGGCATTCTGTTGATCAACGCTGCTGCGGTCAATACTGCTTGTCCCCATAATGTCTCTGGGACATTCATAGAGATCATCATGCTTCTAGCAACCTCTAAAAGATGTCTGTTCTTCCTTTCCGCTACCCCATTCTGTGCTGGAGTGTATGGACAGGTTGTCTGGTGATGTATTCCTTGAGCTGACAAATATTCTTCAAGGGCTCTGTTGGTATACTCTGTCCCATTATCTGACCTCAATACTTTCACCACTGCTCCGTATTGAGTCTGAACAGTCTTATGAAAATTTTGGAAGCACCCAAACACATCACTCTTATTCTTCATCAGGTATAACCAAGTAACACGAGAGAAGCAATCAATAAATGTAACAAAATATTTGTATCCATTCATAGAACTTGTGGAACAAGGCCCCCAAACATCTGAATGTACCAGGTCAAATGCATGAGAACTTCTATGACCAGAACTAACATAAGAGCTTCTAGTAAGCTTTCCAAACTCACATGCATCACACACAAGTTTCTGTTTATTTGCTTTCTCAAATAAAGAAGGATACAATCTACCTAAAACACTAAAGGATGAGTGTCCCAAACGCTGGTGATGGAGCATTAACTCATTTTCAGCACTCATTTTAGATCCTACTCCTGCTTCCTCTATGACTGACACCAATGCTGAATCCAGCCCTTCACGATCCAGATACCACAGTCCACTACGTCATGTGCCAGTCCCAAGTCTCCGTCCTGTCCCCTTCTCCTGGAAAATTACATTGGGAATATCAAAAGAAACAATGCATTTTAGTTGGAGGATGATAGAACTAATGGACAAAAGATTGACTGGAAAGGAAGGAGCATGCAAAACATTGGACAAAGTTACAGAACCAGTACAATCAACTGTACCCTTACCAACCACCGGCTGAAATGTACCATCAGCTGTTTGAATACTATCAGGCGATGCTAAGTGAGTATATGATGAGAACTCACTAGCATTACCTGTCACATGACAAGACGCACCGGAGTCGACTATCCATGCTGATGATCTGTCAGGAGACATAGAAGCAAGAGCATGTATGTCATCAGTACCTTTGTTCGGATGAGCATAGGTAGCAGTGTTGCCTCTGACGAAGAACGAAGTAGATGCTTCCGCGGTCCCATTCCTCAAATCTCCATCCCCTGCTACTTGCGGTTTTTTTCTGAGCATCGTGAGGAGAGCACGATCCTCCTCTGTAAAGACCACATCAGCTTCTTCTTCTTCTGTTACTGTCAGATTTGCCCGATTTCCTGCTCCTCTTCCACCTCGTCGACCCCCACGGCCACGACCACGACCTCCGAACTGTCCACTCGTCGACCCCCACGGCCACGACCACGACCTCCGAACTGTCCACGTCCACCTGAATCTCCTTCCTTGGATGGCTTGGTGCAAGCATGTCGTAGATGACCCACCGCACCGCAGTTGTAGCACTGTCGGGTCTCTCCCCTAGATCCAGTGTTGCTAGAGGCTGCCAGTGCTGACTTCACCACAGGAAGTCCACCTGTCCCCGCCTGCAGCCGAATGCGAGTCTCCTCCTGGATCATAGCAGAGATAGCCTCCTCAAGCGTGGGAATCTTCGGATGAGCGAGCAGCAATGCAATTCGCTGAGCGAACTCTGATGTCAATCCCTTGAGAAACACCATAGTCCTCTCTTGTAGAAAGGCCTCCCGCTCTTTACATCCCGGGTCCTTGCAGCTAGCCCGGGGAGAGAAATGATCATAATCCAGCCACAGGCGTTCCAACTCTGTAGCATATTCCTGTACAGTCCTTTCTCCCTGGACTGTGGCGTCGATCTCTCCTTTAATCTGGAATACCCTCAGGTTATTCCCCACTCCATCATACGTCCTCTTCAACTTCTCCCAGACGTCCTTCACCTTCTCAATGCCATCTACCGTGGCGGCGATCGTTGGGACCAAGGAGTTGAGAAGCCAGATGTACACCAACATATGAGTGGTCTTCCACTCATCTCTTCCCTCCGAGTCCTCCTCCGGTTCTGTCGCCTCTCCTGTCAAGTAACCCTCCAGGTTCCTCCCTGCAAGGGTGTATCTCACCCGTCGCGACCAGCTCAGGTACGTACTCGGTCCATCAAGCTTCAGATCGATGGTCGGAAGCTCCAACTTCTTCGATGGTTTTGTCGCACTCTCACCAGCCGACAACTTCATTAGCTTCATCAAAGTTAACACCTCCGCGGGGTTCAACTTCTTGATGATCTCCTCCATCGAATAGGCTTCAGACCCACCACCTGTTCACCTTCTCTTCCAACCCTTGTTGTGTGCAGTAAAAATTTCGGCAGCACCTCTACTGCACAACAAGAGTAGGATCTCAAACAAATTCTTGTTTCTCAGAGGAAACAAGAACCAAAAACAGTTATATACCTCATCGATGTGAGATATAAACTCTTCCTGTCATCAGTTCGAGGACTGAGTCAAGGGAACCCATGCCAAACTCGAGGTTCGAGCAGGATGCATACGCGAGGGCGGTGTTGGTGATTCGCGGGAATGATGGAAGGGGGGTGGCTGATCGCGGAACGGGGGGGGGGGGGGGGGGGGCATGGTCGGAGGAGTGGGGGGGTGACTGGTTGTGTCGAGGGTAGGATGGGGGGGGCTGCAGGTAGGGGTGATCCGGTGGGTCAGGGGGTTCGGGTTGGGGGGATCGCTGGTCAGGGGGGTGATCCGGTGGCTCAGGTGGGGGGATCGCTGTAGGGGGGAGGGGATCGGGGTCTGGAGGTTGGTGAACAGCGGGGGTTCGGGGTCAGGGGATAGCAGGGGATCGGGGTCAAGGGGGGGGGTCGAGGTGGGGAATCGGGCAGAGGGGCAGATCGGCCGAAAGTGGGGGGGTCTGTGGGGTTCGTCTCCGAGGAGGGGTGGGGAGAGAGGCGGCCGGCGAAGTGGGGGGAGGGGGCGGCGGCTAGGAGAGGAGAGGAGGGGCAGCCGGCTCTGATACCATGAAACGAATGAAAACCCTAAATCATTATGAGATCTCTTGGGCCTTTATATAGGCCCGCTACAAAACTTATAAATAAGTCCCTAATAATACTAATATGTCAACAGTTGATTACACATCTAAGTTGATTGTCCCATGTGAACAGAAGTATTTTGTTACTTCTGCTAATAATTGAGTCCATTCGAGAAAGTGATTAAAAAATAACTAAAAGCATTCAGAATAAGAACCACCCATGATCATCCAACCAAGATTGCATCAATATTAGGTATGAATACTGAAGGTGATCTATTTACGTATTCATCATATTTCAGTTGTGAAAGCCTGGTGAAAAATTTAGCAATTACCTAGATAGTTCATATTCAAGTATTTCCCCAAGTTGAAATCAATCCTTAATTCCTTATCCATCTGTAGATACGGTGAGTTACTGTAGGAGACAATATTTACATTCAAGTATCGCACCAAATTATTGTACACTAGATTAAATCTAGAAAAATAGCAAAAAAAACCAAAAAAAAACTTTAATTTTTAAGGGGAAAGAGGGCATTTTTTATGGAAAACTCAAAAACTTGAACAAGGTAAAAAACATATGCTTTTAGAAGGCACAACGACACATTAAGCATTCTGACTCACTTCTTAACCGTGCTAGAAACAAGAGCTACATTCTTGCGAGTCAGATCCATATGTTAAAATTGTACACTGTAAAAAGGCTGGTTTGGATGTTAAGACTGTACCCTGATAAATGTAGGTGTAGTTCGCTGGAAGCCCAATGAAAGTAAGTACAGTTGCCCAATTATACCTGCATTTCTTTATGATCGTAACAACACAGAACTATAATGCAAACTCAAGAGAAGTGAGGACAAGTGAAAAGCGAAGAAGAAAGAGGAAGATATGAGGTCAACAATCTTGAATTTTGAAATATCTGTACAAAGTTACAAAAGATAATAGAAAAGCCTCATCATCTCAACTGTAGGTACATAACGCCCATTTTCCAAAAATTCTGGGCTCCTGAGAGAGGGCTCTGTTCTCATCCTTTTCTGACTCTAGCTACACTAGTCTCACTTAAACCAAATACTCGTACTATGACACATAAAAAAGAAAATCAACTTCAGAGTTGATTAGTAGATTTGCGAGATGCATCTCCTGTGACAGGAGACTAGCTTCTTGGCCTGCTGCGTTTCCTCTTTCCATGCTTTGCTCAGATCCTTTGCCACCTTCACTGCATCAGAGGAAGCACCAGCCAAACCTCTTCTTGTGAAGCCAGCAGTATAAAGCCCAGACTTCCCTTTCCATGCGTTTGGGAACTGTGCCTTCGGCATCCCGTCTTTGGAGAAGAAATCGGTTCCCTGCAGCCAATATGGAACATTGCTGCGGTACCCTGTGGCCATGACAACAGCATCAAATTCAAGAACTCGGCCATCGACAAACTCAACTCTTCCAAGCATAAATCTCTTGACGCCAGGTACCACCTCAATTTCACCAGACTTTATCTTGCTCAGAGCTCCATAATCCAAAACAGGGGTCCTGCCATGTGTGGTCTTAAGCTCCAAAGGGCCGACTGATGGTCTCTTCAGCCCATACCTCTCTAAGCTTCCGAGCACAAACCAAGCGACAACAAGCATTATCTTGTCAACCAACCACAATGGCAGCCATTTCATTAGGAAAACGGACAACTCAAATGTCGATTTCCCGTAGACTTCTCTTGGCAACACATGAACAGAGTCACGAACCACCATGGAAGGGAATGCATCATGATCACAGAGGTCGAGACAGACCTCCATGCCGGAATTGCCACATCCGACCACCAAGACCTTTTTTCCTCGGTAAGCTTCACCAGATTTGTAGTCGGAAGCATGGGTAACTTCGCTTCCAAATGACACCAATCCGTCCATATCGGGGACCACTCTCTCGGTGTTCTCACCTGTAGCCACAACTAGCCATTTACCGATGTACTCTACTTCTTCGTGTTGCGTTTCTATGGCCCTGACATGCCATAGACCACTTGTTTCGTTATATTTTGCTGACTGAACTGATTGATTGAATTTTGGGCTGATATCGAAATGTTTGGCATAGGACTCCAAATAATCTACGAATTGTTTCTTGCAAGGGTACTCTGGGTAGGAATCAGGGAAAAGGAGCCCTGGGAGTTGACAGAATTGTTTGGGGAGGTGAAGCTTGAGGCGGTCGTAGGTTCTCTTCTGCCAGAGGGATGCAATGCAATCAGAACGCTCAAGGATAACATATGGGACGCCACGCTCTTTTAGAGAGGCAGCTACCGCGAGGCCTGAGGGGCCTGCACCGACGATGATGGGCCCATTTACCCACATACATTTTCTAGATAGGAAGTCAACGCTATCGGGCAATTGAGGACCCATGATAGATTGAACAGTTAATTTCTAGATTGGAATGGATAGGTTTAAAGTTGGAGGTTGAGAGCTTCTTAGCTCTTTTCTAATGGAGATGGGTAGAAAGAAGTTTAAACTGGGAGAAATTTTAAGCTGTTGTACGTGATGGAGTTTGTGTTGTAGGAGTTTAGTGAAGAAGAATGGGAGGGAGGGGATGTTTAAATAGAGGGGATTCAATGGGAGATGCATGTGATGGGAGTAAAGGTGGTGGCTTTCTCAAATCATAAACTGATGCCATCTTATTTTTTAAAGTTCCTCTAGTTTGAATGCTATAATTTATTTTTAGGCCAATATCTTCAAGTATAATTTATGGGAGTAATTAAAAACCATAATTAGTTTATGTTTTTTTTTGTTACTCTTTAGATTGTAGCTTGTCCTGTGGAATCTTTGAATGGAGGAAGCTTGATTTAAAAATTTCAGCTTTACATTTCGAGTTAGAATCTTTTTCACAAGCCGCTGCATTAATTCTCTGACACATGCAGTAAAACATTATGCTGTGAGATTGATGCTGAATATTTTCTATCTGTTTTTACTGTTTTTTCAGGATACCATACAACTAATGACTTGTCTCTTTTTCGAACAAAATTTACCTAATTGTTCTCGGAGGTTCAGTCCAATATAATTTGTGCAGTAAAATTCCATGTCTATGGTCTCCCTATTGCTTTGAGGTACCATACAAACTTGTCTTTAATTGCTTTTCCATTTATTTCCTTCTTTTGGATACCATGTTCTTTCTTAATTCTGCAGTCATTTTCTTTGATGCTTCTTTCTGCTCTTCCTTTATCTTGACCTCGTAAATCAACGTCTCTCCGTTCTCATTAATTTAGTCATTACAACATAAAATATGGTTGAAAATCTACTTTAGCAGAGTAGAAGGTGTAAATGAATATAGCAAAAAGTTCTGATAATACCTTACGCAGAAATTTTACATAGAGGTTTCATGCTTTTTTCAATCGTGTTGCAAGCTGTTTTCAGAGAATTACCTTAGTAAAAAACTGTTTACAGGGAAGTGATACTGGCCTCCACTCTCTACTTTCAAAAGTGATAGCTCCTTGGTATGTGAGGCATGTGCATGAAGTTTGGTCTTCCTTTCCCTCTCCTTTTCATGACATGGAGAGAAAAAAGAGAGCTAAGCTTATATTAATGTATGCTCCTTGAGATGAGTGTAAGCATCTCACAATCTTTAGTTCTCCTAATTTTCTAGTAAGCTTCTTAAACCAGAAGTCTGACTAGAAACATGATATGAGAATATTTGTATCATCCTTCTATTGATGAGAGATAGGGATGTGCGTATCATTCCTTACTTCTCTTAGAATCACCTTAACTATCTCCTAGGAGAAGGGCATGTGGTGTGAAGAAAAACATGGCCACGTTATAGTGCGTCAGAATTATAATATTTTAGTGAAATCTCGGGGGTTTCTTCTAGGCACTTCCGTGGTCGGTTATCTCCATTGATCTGGTTCCTGGCTGTTAAAGCAAGCTTGTGGGCAAGACCTTTTAGTTAAGTAGAGGCTAATGCTATACAGTAACTGACATAGAAAGTGAGTGTAGGTCCACTAAGGATGCTTGGGTTTGCTCATGCTTTAAAAGGTTGTGAAAAAGATGAAAAATGATTGGGAATTAAACTTCTTGGTAGCTTCCTAAGGGCTATTCAATTGAGGAATGCCTTTGTTTTGGACTAGAATAATTCTTCCGAATCTTTGTGAGCTTGAAGTTCTTCTATAGGATCTTGCTTTAATAGATACTACTGTGCATTGAGAATAAGTAAGGGTTTGTTTGATATTCCTATGAACTCATGGGACCTGCAAGGTATGACTCTTGATTCTGCTTGATGATTGGAGAGGGCCCATTGGATTTCTATGAGAGGGTTGGTTGGTTAGATTCATTGACTAATTATTAATATACATAATATATATTGAGATAAGGTATTGGTTTGGTTTATTGAGATGTATGTATACTAACGGGATATAAAGCACATATGAACAATTGTTGATTATATACATGTAAGTTGACATTGCCATGTGAATGGAAGTATTTTATTGCTCTTGCAAAAATTCTAGTAATTGATAAATTTACTACAAATATTCAACAATCGTCCCACCAAGATCGCACGGCTATTAGGTATGGATATGGTTGGAATGTGTAGGGTTTAAGCTGGCTCCATGCAGTATTCAGCTTCTCAATAAATTAAATGTAAGATGCTACAACGAAGGAAGAAGGCTCAACTCTTTTGTAAGAGTTTAGATTGTTCAAAGTGATGAAAAATGTGTGATTAGTTGCTAAACAAATGTTCTCAAATGTCATGAACAACAGGCGCAATTAGTTCCTGAATAATGATAATCTCAAGGAAGAATCTTGAGAACTAAAGAAAAAAGGGTGAAGAATTACAAATCATTTCTGTTGGATTCCTAATCATCATAAGAATCTCATCTACTAATAATGGAGGATTACGAAAAGTTTTTTTTGGGTGTTAGTTTGTAAAGTGTACACATTAATTTGTGACTAATTGACTAATGAAAATAAGAATCTTCAGTTGGGAAGGATGACGATTATACTTAAAAGATTGGTACTCCTATTTGGCGTTATTGAATCAAATACCACACTCCATTTTTTAAAGTCCTATCCAATTTCTATTTGCCAAGTTAGTGAGTTCTGTGAGTTTTTGTTCACCCTGACATGCATTCATGCAAGTTTTCTCTTCACAACGAAAGCTCCCTGATTTAATATGGCAGAAAATTGTCAAGTATTCGTCTAGAGTGCCTAAATCACAATTTGATACCTACACTATAAGCTAAGAATCTAAATTATAAACAACACTAGATATGGCTAATGAACTAATTGGCATAACAGCTTCATTAAATAACAGATATAGACAAGGACAAAAATATAGCATAACTAACATAAGCGGCAGTTTAATGTTTTCTTGACTCTATTGTGTGGTCCACAGTCCTAAGCTACATACCCTAATAAGTGATTATTAAGGTTTAAGTCACTATTTAATTAGCTTCCTTCCTACTAACATGAATGCAAACAGAGAAGGTATGTGGTTAGCCATATGCTTGCTCTAGGTCAAACTAGATTCAAATGGTTAAGTCACATGGCAACATGCTAATACTTAAGAATCAAATCATTTAAATGTATTTAGAAGAAACCCTAGCGTTCCTATGTTCTTGTAGACTCAATACCTCATTAATGCAACATACTCTTCCATTTTAAGAATGAATATGAAAGCTTATCAATTTGGGTGACCTCATCCTTCTCGTTGCTTTTATTTTACATGATTCTTATTGGGTCGGTTGCGGACTACTTAACTACCATGTGGCCTAACTTATGCTATATCCTGAATCCCCTTTTTTTTCAAAAAATATATTGCAATGTGATGGTAGCAAGAATATTTACTCTACCATCACAATCCATTCTTGGTTTTGATCAAAGCAAGGGGTTTCTCGGGTCAATAGATTTAAATTCCTACTGATATAGTGGGTAACAAGGAGTGTGGCATGTGATAAGAGGTTTTTCTACAAGGGGAGTATTCCTAGTGGAGAATGTATCATACTACTTCCTGTGCCCACCACATCGAAATATAATGTTAGATATTCTCCATCACATGCTGATCAAAATATAATGTTAGATATTCTATGGGCAACCCTTATAATAATCGCTTCCCCAATGTGGAACATTATTCAGCACGAGAAAATTTCAATAGAGTCTATCCACTGGACAATTGGTGATAAGAGGTGTTGTGGATCAACATGTTGTCTGTACATCATTTTCTTCAAGGAATAGAAATCACTGGATAGGGTTTCACACAATATAACACTTTTTATGGGACTAATGAAAGTTTGATATGGTGTTTGGTGCTTTTACGTAAAATGGTTTTTGGGTTTCATGACTTTGGATGCAGTGCATCTCTTCCTACTTCCTGGGAAATGCCCTCATGCCCTGGCCTAGATTTAATATCAGTTATGGATTGTGATCCAATTCTTCGATGTAGATTCAGGACAAAGTAATTTTTTCATGGAGAAGAAAGGTTAAAACCCAGACAAAGTAAATATAATGCACTTGTTTCAAATTTTGAGGGCAATGTCCTAATAAAGTGAGGTATGCTAATGTGTTACTTTATGTGTTACAAAGATAAAAGCATAGAAAAAGTAATGGCATAGAAAAAGTAATGTCCTAAAAGGGTTAAGCATGCTAATGTGTCACTTGGCGTCTAGGTTAAAACCGACACACAGTAAATATAATGCACTTGTTTCAAATTTTAAGGGCAATGTTCTAATAAGGTGAGGTATGCTAATGTGTCACTTTATGTGTTTCAGAGGTCACGTATGGATAACTGCGTATTGTTGTTTTCTATTTAAGGAGAAGCTGAACAGTTGATACAGGAATAGGTCTCAACTGAAGGATGTCTTCTTGATTTTAGGCACAGTTTGAGCCATGGGATAAGTTGCACATCATGTGAGATTTCTCTAGATGAGATTTTCTTATACAAAAGACAAATCTTGTTATCGGCATTAGTGTTCATTGTGTATATGTATATAACGAGTATAGTACTAATTAGAATAGCATCATGGTAGCTCTCGCTTTAGAGTAAATGATTTTTCCCCCACTGTGTGAATTTTAATATGACATTATATCTTCTAGTAAAGAAAAGGAAAGAATTTTTGAACTGAAGAACTTTTTATCCACTCTCTTCAACTTATCAACTCTTTCACTATTGATAATTTTTTATGCTGTATGTACCGTTTTCATCTTTCTTTTCACCAGCAAATTCATGTACATACTAATTGAGAAAAATACATAGCTTAACTGCATTAGCATGATCTATTTATGGAAGAAAACATATTAAATTACCAATTTTTCATCCAAACATGATATCATTCTACAGTGCATGTTCGAGAGCTGGGATATAGTGTTTCTTATAAACTAGGCTCACCATTTAGTTTATATTCCAACTAACAATGAAATTCAGGTAAAAACGAACCAAGCCAGGCATTTAATTGCATGCAAAGATGCATAAATTAAGATGAATTAGCCTAATCTGTTTGCTTAAATGAATTAAATCCTATTTGAGTGATGAGTACACAAATTTAAATCATCTATGCATTTAATCTCAGTCTGTAACTCAATCCCACCAAAACGTTTTTATTAGACCAACCGCACACTTGAAATTGGATGTGTATATTAAGGCTCCTCCAGGTTTCTTGTAAGCATGACATGAATAAGTTCCATTTTTTTATACAAAGCTGTAAGATTTGGTGAAGATTCCCCTAAGAATTACTAAGTTAGTTGCATATGAAATTATCAGAAGAATAAGCATCAGATCATTGCTAGGATTTGGTCCTCATTCTTCTTAAGATAAACTAACCCCCTCCAAGATTTATGAGAGGCTCGTGAACCTCGATTGATCCTCAAACTGTTGTTTCTGGCCATAACTGGAACTGTGAGAACTTGAAAACAGGAGACGAGAAAGAATTGAGACAGTAAAGAGGAATAGAATTGGGAGAGAGGGAGAGTAAAGGAGAATTGAGAGAGAACTGCAAATTTCATTCATAATCCTCATTCAATGTTACAACTTCCTCTTTTATACAGCTCTCGTCACAAATGAAGAAAAAACAGAAACGTGCACAAAACGTGCACACACTGTAACAACTCTAACAGAAACAGTTAATACAGTTCTCAACTAACTAACAGCATTTATTACAACTAAAACATTGTATAACAGCTTCAGGTCTTGTGCAGCACTTCAATTCTCGTTTCCATGCTCTCCAGCTCCCACCCTCTCAGCACTTTACAGGTTCAACTCCCTGTTTTGCCAATTCTCCAGTTTCCCCAGTCCTCAAATTCTTCTTATTAAGTTGGTTCACTTTCTGTGACTTTCAACACCTGACATTTAGCTTGTCATATTTACATCAATGTGATGCACATGACTTCACTCTTTTGGTGATTGACCGAATGCATGCATGTTTTCGGAAAATATCCAATATCAAATCTATGATATCCATGTTTCAAGCTTTATTAGACTATGTTTTGCATATCCTTCATATGTTACTGCACATGAGTTCCCACATGGACCCAAAAATATCCAATATCAAATCTATGCTATCCATATCTCAAGTTATAATTTGACTATGTTTTCATATCCTTCTCCAGTTAGTTATGTTTCTGCACATGAGCTCTCACATGGAATGATATTAGTCTTCATGCCTATTTTTAGTCATAATTACTACTGCACATGAGCCATACATGAACTATAGAGAGAGAGAGAGAGATGTAGACATTTAACCTCATTAAGTTAATTTAGGGGCTCTTGCGGGTTGGGTTGGGTTTGAGCAATTCCTTGCTTGACCCGGATCCAAACCCGATAAAAAATAGAATTTCTTTTGCAATGACCCATTTTTGAGCGTCAACCGCTTGCCATGTTACCTAATTCTTCCAAGTCTATAGAATCTTGAGTGCATAACTATCGCACATGAGCTCACATGAAATGTAACCAACTGCAATTCTAGCCTCTAGATTGAGAGAAGCAAGTCAATTGCATTGTTTATGTTGATCAACTTGCCATTAATCAAGTCAAAATTATGTAACACTAGATATTCTCTCCTTATGATCTTTTCATGTGAGGAAGGTCGATCTATGAGCAGTATGCCACTCACCGGCCAGTGGCGTGCTCAACTGCGAGGATGAGCCGGAGTTTTGACCAAGAACAAAATCAGAAGTTTAAATTCTCATTCTCACTTTTTAATTTTTGTATTTATGAGCTTCTAATATAAATAATACTATCATTAAGTATGTATAATGCCTGTGGATTGCAATTTGATTATACATTTCCACATTATTCTGTGCTAATGTCAGAGTACAAGTTCTTATGTTTAAGACTATGACTCAAGCTTAGCATTAATGAAATATGTAGCTTTATTAGGATCTTGATTAGTGATAATCATGACCGTGGTCTAACTAGAACCATATTATGTGGATTTGACCAGAGTTCTAATTAAGAAGAGATATCTTTAATTTATGCTTAGTTAGTAATCATGCTACATAGATATGCTTATCAATCATAAGACTTCTGTAGTTTTATTAAGGAAAAATGCTACCTCATCCAACTCAAGCTATTATGTTTTTCTCGTATTAAGTCAAATACATGAAGCAGAGGTAAAGTTGAGAAGCATAATTCTAGTAGTTTAGTTGGTTCATGGCATAATACGTGGATTGGTTGTCTTTTAAATTCTTTTATAAAAGGTTGTTCTGCTTGTAGGAATTCCACTTCCTATTTCAGGTAATCATTGATCGATAACAAGACGAGAAGATTAAATTCTAGTACATGTTCATTTTTTTTTCATCCGTGAGCTTTTAATATCATGTAAATTGCATCTTGATTGTGTTACCATATGCTACATAAGATTATAAGTTTCAAAAGTTACTTTGGGATAAAGCTTAGCATTAATGAGTTGGTGGCATTCTTTTAGGGTCTTTATTAGTGAAATCATGACCATGGTCTAACTAGAACGAGATGTTGTGGATTTGACCAGACCTCTGATTAGGAAGAGATATCTTTAATAATTTATGCTTTGGTAGTAGTCATGCTACTCAGATGCTTCTTAATCATAAATTGTAGTTTTATTGAGGAGAAACATGCTAGCTCATCCAACTCAAGCTATTCATGTTCTCTTATTAAACTATGTTAAACTAAATATATATATGAAAGGATGTATTGTTTAGAAGCTTATTTCGAGTAAATCAGCTTTTTTCTTCTTCTTCTTCTTCTTTTGATTGATGGATTGGTAACGGTAATGCTTCTTCTTCTTCTCGTAGAAGTTGGTTCTCTGCAACAATTGACCGAGAACAAGATCAGAAGTTTGTATAGTTCCTCCCCCTTTTTTTTCACAAGTTCGCTTCTAATATATTTAATATCAATAAGTATGTGCGTTATGGTGTTCTTAGTCACCAAATTATGGCCCCTTGCCAACAACAGGCAAGTATCCCTCGTCACGCACCATTCAGTCAACTCAACACTTGGGATGGCTAGAGTTCTGACCTAGCCGACTTGCCAAGTTAACATCTCGTTAGGTCGTCTCGAATGGCGGTACTTGTCGGTCCTCTCATTAAAGACGACTCGTTGCAAGTCCACTCAATTAGCTAATTAGCCAGTATTTCGTTGGGTCGACTCAAAAAACAGTACTTCTCGACACCCCTCGATACAAGCCAAAAGACAACTTCGACCTCGAACCCCCCGCTGACAATGGTTTGACATCACATTAAATGCTTGACAGGCGCCATCATTTTTTCATCCCAATTCCCAAGCACTATTTATGACATATCGGACCACGCCGGCTTCGTACGCCGCCTATCTCATCTCATTAATATCGAAGTGACCGCACCTATTCCGTGATCACTCTACGACCGACACCTGTAAAGTCGACGCTGACTCGGCTGCCAGTTCAGACTCAGCCGAAAAAGACTAAAATGCCCCTCCTGCATGGCTATAAGAGGAAAACTATTCCCAATGCGAGAGTAAGCAATTTTTCTGCATCTTTCCTCCATTCTATGGCACTTAAGAAGTGAGACAGATCATCTTTTCCCCAATCAAGTATTTTGCTAACTTAATCATCGGAAGAACAACAGGAGAAACAGACTCCGCCCTCTTACGAGTTGCTATTTGTGCAGAGAAGAACGACTCAACTCAAAACCAGATATTCGGAGAAGTTAGCGGTCCCTAATCAACTCAGTTCATGTCAGTTTACCTGTGTGATTTAGACCATCAACAATGTGAAATGCATGTAGATTGCACCTTGACTGTATATGTGCTACATCAAAACAGAACCTCCACTTTGTTACTTTGAGGTTAAGCTTAGCGTTAATGAGTTTTTTGCGTTCTTAAGGTCATAATTAGTGATAATCATGAACATGGTCTGAGTAGAGCAAAGGATGTGGATTTGACCAGACCTCTAATTAGCACTATTGAGTTCGTTGTATCCTTTATTATGCTTAATTACTAATCATAGGTGTAGATGCTTATCAATCATGAGAGACGTTCTATCTCATCCAAATTAGGCCATTTCTCTTACTAAACTATATATGTATGAAGAGAATTTAGCTTTTGGCTTGGTAATTGAATTGGTATAGCTCTATTTATACTAATTTACTTCCTAGCTAGTCAACTAGTAGGCAAAACATTTGTAAAATTACGCCGGTCTGGGTGGTGTAGTTGGTCATCACGCTAGTCTCACACACTAGAGGTCCCCAGTTCGAACCTGGGCTCAGACATATGTATTCATTTAATTTTTTTTCCTCTCTTTTCCCTCTCAAAATCTTGATGTATATAAACAACAGGCTGGAAATAATGAAAATTCAAATTTCTTCTCTTTTTGATATTCCTAAATGTTGTGATACTTAAATTTGGGCTAGATGTCTGCTCCAGAAATAACTCCTATATGGTGTTGTTGTTAAGCTTATAATATGAGAATTTCAACCCTCTTATTAAGATAGAATTTTTAGCCCTATTCTCTGTTGGATATTTTTCTGTCTAGAATTCATTCGATGCTCATTTTGACAATTATATATTAGAATTGTAGGTGCCGTTTGGCAATAAGTTAAGTGAGAGGTTAAGGAGACTTAACCCCTTCTTAACCTACCAAACAAAAACAAAATCTATAGAATGATTAAAGTGAGTTAATTCTCTATAGTTTGTCAAATGTACATAAGGGTTAAGTTAACCCCTCTAGAGGGATTAAAACGAGTTAACCCCTCAAAATGAGGGGTTTACTAATACTCATATTTAGAAGGACTAAGAGTTAACTCCTCTATTTATAAAGAAAATAGTCAAAATTCTTATTATTCCCAAACATAAAACTGATAACAAGGGCTAACATAAAAATTATGTAACGGGTTAATAATTTAGTCCTTCGGGTAATCATTTGAGTTAATTATGTTAATTATTTTCCTTAATCTCTCTTTCTTAACGCTTTGTCAAACGTGGCCATAAGGATTAAGATCCTCTCCGATTAGGTGGTAACTGGATAGGGTCCAAGACTCTTCATCATCTATATCACTTTTACAACATGTGAGATTTTGATTATTACAAATAGTGGTTTTGAATATAGTGGTTTTTAAGTTTACAAGTGGTTTTCGAGACTATAATGATTTTCAGGATGACAATGATACGTGGCATGATCTCATCCATTGAATTTAATATAGACGGCAATGATTGAGCTTAAGTCCATTCTTTTGTCATTACCAAAGTTTACCGAGATTTCTATACTATATATTAAGAGAAGTTCCTCTTTTTGATATGTGCGAGCCACGGTTTTAGAATGCAAACAATATCCTTACACTTGAAAAGTTAAGGAAATGTGCTTGGACTTGAAAAAAAGAAAAAACTACAGAGATACCCTTGCACTTGGAAAAATAGTTTGAAACGCCCTCTCACAAAATCTAACGTACCATTTATTTTCTTGACAACGATAATCATCGATCTTTTGTGTTATGCGCTAATCGGCGTGCGCCAACATTCTAAAATACGTATACAATTAAGTACAAACTTAGGCTCCTCAAAGTACTCCTTTTCCTTGTGCTAGGTGGAATACACGTGCACTGTACGTGGTCAAATATTATAATTATTTACTTTAAGTCTATTTATTTACTATGACATGGTTGTAAAAAACTTTATAATTATTGTAATATTTTTTTTTTTGGATATTTTCATGTGTGATTTTAACATTTTTTTCTTCTAGAGAAATAGTGATGTTTAAAAAATATTAATAATTTAAGATTAAATAGTAATGTGAATGTATAGTTTCAAAATATTAATGATGTAAGGGACCAATATGAAAAAAAACTTATTATTATTAATAAAAATAAAGTCTTGAGTTCATTAAGGAAAATGGTAGGTTTTATCTAGTCGTTAAGGATTTTTTCAGTTATAAAAAAATCACTTCCACCTATTGTTTACTTCCACTTGTTGTTTATCTGACGATCGAGTATTATAGATATTCAAGAATTTTTTTCTAGAATTTTCTAATTTATAATGTGCAAATTCAATCAAGAAAAAAAATATAATTTATCTGATCAATTCCAAAATCTGATGTTGTACTCTTTTTACATCTTCCCAAATACTAATTGATCTGTCAAAACGATTACTCTCTGGTTTCAGAAAATTATAAAATATAGTCTGAAAATTATTTGTACATATTATGCACTCATATTGGTTGTATTTTAATAAAATAATTTATATTTATCCAATGTCAAACAACATTCAAAAATTTAGATAAAAGAGTTGGAAGAATACAATATCTGTAATAATAGTCATATCTAAGTTATGAGCTTCATAAACTTATAAGAATGTGAGCAATATAAAATAACAACTTAATTTACTTTGTCAAATAATTTATTACAAATTATGAAAGAAAAGGGGAACCAGAGCGATCATATGCCCATCCCAAATAAATATTAAATTTCTCTTAGATATTCTTATAGCAAAAGATTTTTAGAGTTGATGTGTGGGATAAATTTAAGGACAAATAACCCAAACCAATTCATTGAGTGATAGACTTGCTATAAACTCCACTCTTATAAAATTGATATCACATGTGCCTTAAGTTGTGCTTTTGTTTAAGAGTTAATTTTAGAAAACTCTCCCTTAACTATGGAGAGCATGACCCCCCACCGGCAAAACTATTTAAGACTGAGTAAATCTCTGCCAAGTTTTATCGATAATCTATCTCAACTTAACAAATCTTGATTTAACCCCAGTGAACTTTTCTCACTTAAACCTAACCTTTCAAAACTAACATCATTAAGTCTTATCTATTATGTGACCAATACTTGACTTGGAAAGACAAAAATATCAATC